GTAGGAATATCTGCAGAACAGTTCATGATGGCATGTAAAGATGGAAGTGGCAGTCCACAATTTAATGGCATGAATAGGGTAGGTGGAGAGATACAGTACTTGTTCGTTGAGGATTTCTTTCTTCACTTCTCATTACAGTTGAATTTGAGCCCCAAAGCACACTGGCAATGAGTTGGAGTCCAAACAGGAAAGATTCAAATTTCTCACTTTGACTCAACACAGTGAAGGAAAGAAATAAAACATTTGGATCAGGGGATGTAACAAATGTGGAAATTTGAGATGCAACACCTTAAAGCAGAACCAAAAGTTAACCCTGGATAGATACTACAGGTGCAACAAGCATGCACTTTATTAATGAAGAATATATTTGAAAATTCGCATTATAACATTACAGGTGAAAATTAACAGATCATCACATCACATCACATTATCAGGGGTTGATCTAGGGGGAGGATACAGGGGGGTGCACCCCCCTCCCCTGAGATGAAGCCTTCTTCTTTGTATTCGCTTTTACACCAGTCAGTTATGCCATTCCTTAGTGGTGCAACCTCTCCTAAGAAAACTGGATCTGCCCCGACATTATTGTTAGTAATGGTACTTTTTTGTTTTATATTTGCAATGTTTATTTTCCTTGGAGATATTAGCTTTTTAGTTATTCTATAAATTTGGGTCAAAAAAATGAAGGCATGAAATTATGTATGTACGTGGCTTGTCATTCTGGCTGCCATCCTTCACCTTCCAATTCTGACAGTGCTACTGACAGAGGTAATTCACTTATAAGTCTGCATTTGAGTCTAGTAGCCTGTGAGGCTGGCATTAATCTGTGGTTTTTGTAGCATTGAGCAATTAGGAGTATTTCTATTCTCCACTGCTGTGGAGGCATGGCAGTCTCATGTTTAGCAAGCTAGATTCCAAATCAAGCGGTCCGGATTCAAGCCCTGGCCAGGGTGATTGCACTGGGTTCATGGGCAAGACACTTAACTCTCACAGTACCTCTCCTCACCCAGGTGTATTAATGGGTACTGGTGAATATAACACTGCGGGGAAACCCTGCAATGGACTAGCATCCCATCCAGGAGGAGTAGAAATTCTCCTTGTTGCTTCATGCTATAGAAACTGTAATAAACTTAGGGACCAGTGTCCCGATCCAGACTTAAACTTTTTACCTCAAGTATAATTTCCTATTAAAACACATGGAAGAGGAGTCTTGGCAATTTGAGAATAAAATATCTTGCCCAAGAACACTCAGACTGCTCAATCAGATGTCCAGTGCACTTTTCCAACTACAAGCTGTTTGTGCCTCTTGCAAATCAATAATATGGAAAGCATGCATGCATTTTCTATTAATTTACATGTACTTTAATAATGTACATGTACTTTTGCATATTACTATGTGCTATGTGAAATTTTCTGATTAGTCTTCTCTTTCCATGTTACAAAGGATGTGTTTGATCAGATGTGGGCTGCTGAGGATTTTGAAGTGTTCAAGAGATTGATGATTCAGAAAAATGTTGAGCTACAGTTACAGGCCTTGCAGCTTCTTCAGCAGCTGCACAATGTCCAAATACCAATGCCAGTGCCAATGCCAACTCAAATGCCAATGCCTGTACCAGTTGCTCCACCCCATGCACCCCCTCCAGCTGTTCCAAACATGGATGAAGATGCTATTATGCAAGAAGTGTTGAAGAGATCTAAGGAAGAGTATGAATCAAAGCAAAAAGATGCAAAGGGAAAGACAGAACAAGAACTTGTGAAGACAATAGCAGAATCCAAGGAAGAAAGTGAGAGGTAAGAAGGATTTGTTTGTTTTTCTAAATCTTGACTAGTGAGTCAATATGAATTGTATATATAGAGTGTGTGATTATCCAGCCTCGCTGTGACTTGCAAAAATACTGTCCTGAATAATTGTGTGTTGAGGAAAATTATGCCAGCAGTTTTCTTTTGTAGTGATTAATAATTACAGAAAAGGTTTCTGGAGAGCAAAGCTTCCTCACTTCCATACAAAACCTTATACAGCTGATTGAAAAAAAGTTCTTAATAAAAAGTATAAATTATACAAGAACAACGCAACTAAGTGGTTTTCTGTGAACTGTGTAAATATTGGCACTGTTAATCAAGAGATCTTTCTTAACTGCCATGAAGAAAATGTGTCAGTCCTATTTATATTCATGATTTGTACCATTTTTGAGCAATGTTCTCTACATCACTCAAATAAAAGAGGCCACAGGGAAATGTTGTATTCCTGGAAGGTCATGAAAAGTGATCAGAGAGTTTCTAGTTTGTATTTCAGGCCAGAAAAAGTAAGAACATTTTTTATTTTCTGCCAAACTGGTTCAAGCTAATGAAGCTTGTATCAAGGATCACGGGTGAGGCTCTATACTTCCACAGACAACAAAACTACACTTTCACTTCAAAATTAACGATGTACTTCTTCTTTGGCCTCATGGTTAGTGTGCTTGACTCTGGATCAAGCAGTCCGGGTTCAAGTCCTGGCCAGGGACATTGTGTTGTGTTCTTGGGCAAGACACTGTCCTCTCACAGTGCCTCTCTCCACCCAGGTGTATAAATGGGTACCAGCATATTTAATGCTGGGGGTAACCCTGCAATGGACTAGCATCCCATCCAGGGGGGAGTAGAAATACTTCTTATCCCTTCATGCTACAGAAACCGGAGATAAGCACTGCCCTACTTGGCTCGTATGCAGACTTTACCTGCTTCTTCTTTAAATCTATATTTCCACTTCAAAACTGCAATTCTACCTCAAAGCTCCACTTCCACCTCAAAACTACACTGCCACACACCTTTATGCTTACAGTTGTACATGTAGAGTAGCTCCCAACCACCATTTAGGACTCCACTACAAAACTACACCTCCACAAAACTCTCATGAACAATTACATGGACCATGACGATATTGCTCTTCCAGTTCATAAAGTCTGCATTTTTATGGCAAACTCCACTTTCGCTATAAAGATGACACTCCATTCCAAAACTACCCTTCCAGGACAAGCCTTTACCTTCTTTTTATTTCATGCTATCTCCATCTAATCGTCTGTTTCTGACTCCTCTAGGCAGTCTTTGTCTTTCACAACTCTGGAAAGTGTAGTCGATGAAGAAGGTTCCAGGTGAACACATCTTCTTCGTGAAATCAATGTCAGTGAGTCTATTTCTTGTCCTTGTTAATCAGCAGAATTGCCTTGTTCTGGATTCATTTGGTGGTCTTAGTTATTCTTTAAGATCACCATATTACATGCTTATGAATTCTCAAGTTCCAGCATTTCAACATTTCTGCACATGCAACCCTTCCTCTGCTGGTGCCCATGGACAGATCCAGAAAACTTAGAAAGAGAGGGCTAAAAAACCTACTACCTGCAAAATGGGTCATTAAAAAAATAAACAAAGCAAAACTCAGGAAAAAGGCGGCCCCCTAAATGTGCTCATTGTCTTTGGTACATCTCTGTGCCAGTTGTTTCTTGGTCTTTGCCTTCTTTCCATTTGCCATTATTAGAACAAGACATGACCCATTTTGATTTCACACTTCTTTCCAAATCATTTAACTACATTGTACCGCTTTGCATATCCAATGTGGTTTTTTCGTATCATTTTTGGCTTTGTTCTCGATGCTTCTCATCAATTTGTCCTTGTGGTGCGGACTTGTTTGAAACTCTTATCTGCTTGTGACATATTTCAAAATATCCTCTTCCCTTTTTCTGCTACATGTGCTGAACAATTAGAGTTGTATGAAGGAACTTACGTTCGGATGGACAAGCTTGTAAATTGTAACTTTTGTCGTTTCATGTAGTTTTTCATGTACAGGTATATTTACGTGTTTATTTCAAGGTTAAGGGAAATAGCAAAGAGAGAACAAGAAGAATTAGAAAAGGCGCTTCAAATCTCACTGGAGGCACAGAAGAAGCAAACGGCTGAGGCGGAAAAATTACGCGATGAAGTAAAACAGTCGGCAGCCAAGACGTCTCCTCGACCCACCCCTGTTGAGAGCAAACCAGCACCTAAGCCCTCCCCTGCTGCAAGTAAAACTGTTCCCGAACCTTCCCCGACTGAAAGTAAAACAGCACCCAAGCCCTCTCCTGTAAAACCTAAATCGCCTACACAACCAGAAGTGAAGGCGTCTGCCTTACCGCCCTTGTCGGGACAGACGAAGAAGGAGGCGGAGAAACCGTCTGAAGCGGCAGCAGGGTGGATGAAGAGTGCTAAGGAAGATGTCGCGAGCGGTGCCTCTGTCACGCCAGCACCGGTAAATTTGTCAATTTGTTGTTACGCTTTTTGATTTCGATAGGTACTCCATTGATTGAAAGACCGGGGTCTTTGTACCCCTGAGTTTTCGTTAGCCTGTTAACATTTAATATAACAAGGTGAACTGCTGCAGGAACTAGTGGAATTTTAAAATTATCTTCTTCTGGAAAACGCTTAGCATTTTACAATTATATTTGTAATAACTGTTTCAAATAAAAGTGCTAACATAACTTTCTTCATAAACGCTATACATGTAATGTAAGTGAGCTGTTCGAAAACTGAAGCATATTAACACGAATTTTCTGAGTTCTAGGTCCTGGAATTTTTACTTTTACCAAATGGAAAAGTCGTGGCACTCCCGCCGTTATCTCTAAGTAGTTACTAACCCTGTGTTGTAGGGCAACTAGAAAATTTATTGTACAATGGTCGTCAATACAACTCCACCTCACGTTGTCAACTCTTCAGTACAGTGATGGTGTTTTTTTCCTCCTTATGCAGAAGCAGGAGATAACAGAGGAAGAACTTAAGAGACGCGCTGCGTATCTGAAGCAACAACGAGACAAGCTTCTGGCGTTGAAGAGGCAGGAACGTGAGAAAAGCTTGACGAAGTATACCGAGCAGCAGCCGAAAGCTCGGCCGACCTCCAGCCGAGCGGCCCGTCGGGTCACTGCTGGAGAGCAGGTTGATTCCCCCGCTTCAAAAAGCAGCGAAGATGATGGGAAAAAGTTGGCAATGCGCAGAGCTCTCGCGGACTGTTTGAAACGAGAAGTTATCGATAAGAATTGAATCAAGAACAATTTAGAATGAATTCCAGTTACGGCTGGTTTATTTGTAGGTCTTTTTGATATCTCAACTACTAGCCATCCCAGGGAGTCTGGCGAGCAATGTCAGTGTTCGGTACTACGATTATCAGTTGAGTAATGCGCAACGAAAGTTTGCTCACCAGGTTTTAACGTGAAAATGGTGTTGTTGTCATGGGCAACTGGATCCGTTTCCAGTGGCAACTTGTCGGCTTTTGACGTCATTGGCAGCAAAGTAGGCTGATTTAGCAAGAGAACGGGAACGTCACTTGACCACGGCGCGCGCAGTACAAATACCCAAATATGGTCAAATTAGAATAGAATCCAGGTTATTCCGCGCGCCCTGCAGTCGTCATCTGACGTTCCCGTCCTGTTGCTAAATCAGCCTAGTGTGCGAAATGGTACGCGACACGAAAGACGACGCACGGCTGTTGATATTGTTACCAATGGAAACGAGGTAAGTTGCCCGTGACAACACCCTAATTTTAAAATTAAAACTTCGTCACCAAACTTCCGTCGTGCCTTACTCAACTGACAATCGTAGTAAGTCTTCGTAAAGCACCCTCACACTTCGCGCTTTTTATTAACCTATCAGAGAATTGAACGAGCACTTACGAGAACGTCAACGTTACGTCATAAGCAGGCGTGATGTTACTTAGCAACCTTTCTCACGACCACTGCAGGCTCCATAAATTTTCGGTAAGTGTTTTCTCTGTTGGAAAAAAAAACTGTTTTGTTTTGTTAGGTTGATAAGAGATATTCCTGTTGCTCACTCTCAACAGATAACTGGTCCAACATTTTGCAATCAGGCTTTTGTACACAGATTAGGATAAGTTACATTAAGAGGGTTCGCAAATAAAACACTGCCTGGTGTTGCATGTCTACAACTAATTTCAAGATTAACTTATTTTTCGCTCCGTTTTGAACTGGTTTGCTCTAGCTAGTGACATTGATGCGCAGACTGAAATAGAACTTATTTTCTGAAACTCCTTCAACCAAAAGAAAGTACAGGTTAAAATTCCTTCGCAAGCCGAAGGCGATTCATACAACTGAGGATTTTGTTATAGGTTTAATTTTTTTAATGATTGAAGAATAGAGAAGATTAGGACGTTTGCCTCGACCATCAATCTTCGGCTTCTAAGGCCAGCTGCTTTGTTTGTGAATCGTTGCTCACAAACACCTTGAAACTTTGATGCTGTATTGCCCCGAAATTTCCGCTAAAAATAAAATTAATAATACAATTGTAATTATGTTTGAATTGTGTATTGCACAAATTGTACATTAAAAAGATGGTCCTTAAATGCCCTTGAAAACGTCACTGAATCTTTGGGGCAAAACGTGATAAGACCCTTGCAATGTCAGCTTGTGTGAAACCTGTACGGACTTGTTTGCACGAGCACTAGATTATGTTCCTTATAAGAAATGCAAATAAAGTTCTATTGAAGAATTAAATTCATCATGCTTTAGAGAGGAAGCCACATCAGCCTTAGCTGGTTTTTATGCTGGTCCTCCATCCTGGTCAAATTGGAATTTGGAGATGTTGGTTTTTGTGGAGAGAGAGAAACCGAAGAACCCGAAGAAAAACCCTCGGAGCAAGGCGAGAACCAACAACAAACTCAACCCACATATGGCACCGGGCCGGAATCGAGCCCAGGCCACATTGGTGGGAGACGTGCGCTCTCACCACTACGCCCACTTTTGAAAAAAGTCAAATAAATCCTCCGGCTGCACCTGATCTTCTTGGTGGCTGTCGTTCGGAATGAAAACCATTAGATCATGATTCAAGACCCTGGGTTTTATTTGGAGTGTTTTTGTTGTACTGTTTTTTTTTTTTTTGGTTCATCAGTCGGTAAGTTAAAGCGATGTAGAATTTGTTCCCTATCTCATAGTAAGATAAAACACATGAGTTATTGAAAACAGACGAATTTGCAAATGATGCGTAAAACAAGGTTTAACTCGGTCTATGACAACATATACTTGTTAGCCATTTAATGAATTTTATACAGCAGCATTGACCAGGAAAGAGTGATCCCCAGAAATTAAAATAATTTGAATTTCCTGTTGACGACAGCCGGTACATACAATGTGGCATCTCGACCAGTTATTTCATTTTGCTTGCTTACTTTTATAAATATATTTATTTCGTTTTAAAGCGAACTTTTATTATTTCTGAGCCAGTGGTGAAGAATCAGTTTCAATTTCTCTTCGTGCAGGATATAAGAATAGCAACCCTCCTTTACACATGACGCCAAAAAAAAAAATCGACTTCCTACAAAGACGAATTGGCAAACTTCCAAACTTCTGGTCTATACATCGCTTTCATAGTTTATACTCACCTTTTTTTTTTTCACTGCGTATTTAAGCTTCTTTTAGTCTATTTCGCTTTTGCCACCTGACATTACCAAGATTTTGACACACCTTATCGATAAACTTCGAGTTTCATTTTGGGTAGGATCACTAAACTTCAAAAATACCTCAATTGTTTTACAGTCGTGGTTTTCTAGTACGTCAATTGAATGTGTTTTAACTATAATTTCCCTGTCGTTTTGAAGGGTCTGTGTCATATTTCTGGGATGTTATCAGAGTTTTCTTGCTCAAAACTGAGGGCAATATAAAACGCCTCAAACAGAGATCCAACCTCGTTTCCAGGGCGTTTCTCTACACCTGGGAACGAGATTGACAGATCTTGATCTAAATCTGAACTGTCATGTGTCAAAAAGAATGGAAATCGAAAATAGCAAAGCGTTGCAAAAAAGATCAAATCTAAATACTAACGGTGAGAAATAGCTGAAAATCTAAAACTGTATCCGCTCCATAGAAACTGAAATCCGTAAAAAATTCAAATCGTTCTCAGGCTCTCTTTCCTCTGCCTCCCTTGGTCGACCAAGAAAGGAAGAGGAGATAGAGCCTGGGAATGAGGTTGCGTAATTCATAGCTGTAGTAGATTTGATTTTCTTTACATTGCATATTTCCATTTTGCGTGTCCCTATAAAGTTAAAATGACTCCGATAGTTTATTGAAAACCCCGTATAAATTAACATGGCGTGATGTTATTTAACAATTATCGGACGAACCCGGCTGAGCATGATAACAAGAATTATCAAGGTCGAGCTTTGTATTATCTACCCAAACCGACGACCGAGGCGGATAAGACAAACCAAGACCTTGATAATAATTCTCGCCATCGTGCGAGAATCGAATCTAATGATAAAATTTATTTTCAAGCTTACAACGTTTCGTGCGCCGATGAAAACAATAATTGTTTGTAGGTATGACGTCACTTCTACACACATGAAAACAATAGTTTGCAAATATACGACCCAACGAAACAGCACCAGAAAGAATTAGCAATAATATTTATATTTATATTGAGAAAATAAAGATGTTGTTGGGTGCTTTTAGCCAATGTTCAGTAATCCCAAGTATCCGATGTTAAATTAATTGTGACATCAACTGAAGTTCTTTGAAGTGTTTATTTCGCAGGAATTTTCAGTACTGAGAAAACTAGCAACTGAACACGTAAATTCGTTATGTATCAAGTGATTGACACATCGTGTTCGTTTGTGTGTCTACCTCGTCGAAAAGTTCAATATATGTTCAAAGCATCGTTGGATTTTTCTGGGGTTTCTTGGCATTGTCGGGCGATCTTCAGTGAACGGTCTATAATTATCGCAAAATCTTTCAAGACGCCCGTATCTTAACCAGTATTGTTTACACAAAATAGCTGCTCGCAAATGTGGAATTTCTCTTCTCGCAGATTCGAAGCATCAAATGGTTTGAAAACTTTTACACCTTTTTCCTTTGGCCAACGATTCGACTTCCATTCAAGAAGAATATACCGACTTCCGGTTACTAGTTTTTTTAGATTTTTACCAGTGCATTGTTTGTTTTTAGAATTTGGACACACTTTCCTTTGGTTTATTTTACAATTTCGCGTTATGTTGGTAAATTTCAAAAATTATCCTATTTCCCTTTAATTTGATCACACTTTGACATCTTTATAAAAAAATTCAAGCTTAATTTGGCAAGAGCTATGGGGAAAGGCCAAAAGCCTAAAACTGAAATCTTAATCTAAATCTAGATTGTCACATGGAAAACAAAGATTTTAAAATGTTGCGCGGGGAGCAAAAACTTGACAGCTAACCGTGCATAATTAAATTTCAGAATGTCGGATGACGACTACATGGAAACTGAAATTTAAAACCTACCTATAATTCATAGCGGTAGAATTAGTATTGTTTATCAGAGGGACACTTGCCCCAAGTCGACCTTCGCAAATCGTTCGCTTATTCATTGCAATCTTTGAGCGCCGAATTCCCGAGCGTGGGCGACGGCGAAACTAACAGTGGTGGAAATATTATTGGAAAGGACTTTTAGAAAGTCTAAGGGAACAGGGGAAACCTTAAAATCATACATTTGGCTCTTAGAGATGTGGTACTTCACTTCTCACAAGCTGGAAGTACAAATAGAGTTGAAAACTCTTGCGCCATTTGTCTTTCACCATGAGGCCAACAATTCGCTTTCCTAAACAAGAGCTGGTAGATAACTTTTATTAATTCTTCAGTCCATTAGTCGAATCGCACTTTCCTTTGTGTCATCTGCGCGTTATCATAATATTAAAATATCATTATGGTAATTGTCTTTAATTGTAACATGATAACAGTTTTGACATAGTTGCAGAAAACGTCGCGATCCATTTTCAAGAGGACTGACTTTTTTAACCACATTCTATTTTTCGGTCAACCTTTTATAGTGTTTCAAGTTCATTTTTTTTTATTTCGTCTAATATTCAAGTTTGAAAATGTTTGCCTGCAACGGGATTCGATGTTTTACCTGGCTAAATTGGTCTTCCTGCTACAAGTTCCGTTTCTGAAAGCTAAAGAGGGAAAGCCCTTAAATCTCAATCTAAATCTGGATTGTCACATGAAAGGTGGAGATTTAAAACCAAAAGTGCTTCACGAATACAAATAAACTCGAAAGCTTACCGAGACTAGAAACTGAAACACAGCAACATTTTAGAAGTGTCACATGAGGACAAGCCAAAAATCTGCAAAACGCGAAAAAGTTACAATAACATTTAGGTTTTGGTAAGTGAATCGTATATTTTAACAATAAACTAGTCACATATAAAACCGTAAATCTTGTTATTTCGTAATATTTACTGAAAAATAACCCTTGGCATAAATTAAGGAAAAATCGAGATTGAACACTGGGTATCGATGACGTCACGTTTGTCAACTTGTCTGTCGCTTTGAAAAGTCCAACTCCAAAAATTTAACTGAGAACTCAAAAAACTTAGAGCCAAAATGTTACATGAAGCCCAAAATCTATAAAGCCATCCGTTTCATTTAACCAGGTATCTTAATCCAAAACCTAGAGGCAAATTGTTGCCGGAAGACTGCAAATCTAAAGGCTAACCGATGCATAAAAACTGAAATATGAATTCTAAATGCCACACGCAAAAATAAATATCTACGACCAAAATAATGTGCTGATAGAAAATCTAAAAAAAACTTTAACCATTGCAAACCGAAATCTGAATCCAAATTTTCTCGTGAAAAATGAAAATCTAGGATCAAAATATCGCACGGACGCATATCTAAAAGCAAACCTTTGCATAAAAACTGACATCTGAAATCCGTAATGTCACAATTGTAACCGTTGAATGGAAACTGAAATTTAAACCTCAATCTTATAAAACGAGAGCAACTACCTCTGTTCTTCGCCACTTGTTGTTGGTTTTTGCCGTTTGAGTATTTCGACTCTCGCTGCGGTTGGAGACAAGTTTATTTCAGATCGTGTTGACCTATCTTCGTTACGTAAGTAGTAACTGCTACAAAATTTACTCAATGTTGTACTTGTTTTGAGGCATTTCTCTTCTGATTTGAACTATTATTTCTCAGTTATAATGACTTTCTTTCGTGTTCTTAACCGGCAAATTCAATGTTAATTGGCTGAATTTTCGTCTTGATAGGTTGTTTGAAAGTTGACTGCAGAGAATCCCAAAAGTCTTGTTTTGGATTGGAAACAGTAAGTATTTGCAATTGAATGTCGCCGTAACTTTTAACCTGATACTTTATTTTCGTTCGTTCTACACATTTGTAGCTCTAGGAAAGTTAACTTTTAATGGCAGTTAGAAGCCTCTATCTAGTACTGTCACATGATACGTGTTAAACAATTCTAATAAGCTGCCCGAATTTAACTTAACGCAATGCCGTATTGGTTTAATGATCGTTTGATGTTTCATTGAGTGATTCGTTCTGTTTCAAATTTCTCATTTTCAAAGGTTGTTTTGCTGTTGACCTCAGAAAATCCCAGAGGCCTTATTTTGAATCCGTAACAGTAAGTATTTACATTTTTTAATATCATCAATGGGTTATGAGTTTGAATCCAGTTTTCCATGTAAAGAAGGGCAACGCCCCATTCATCAGATAGTGCTTTAAAGGAGCTCAGTCAAGGTATTTTGAGTTATTTTGGCCACATACAAAATTACCTTTAAATGGTAGGAAACCTGAAAATAACAGTTTAATAAGATAGAAAAACACCAAAGAGATAATGATAAACCATAAAGGAACAAGGATGGCTAAGATGGAGAAGATTGACACGGATTACAAACTACGAATTTGAAAAATTGAGGCGAAACTTTTCAATATGCGCAAACCGTGACAAGCTCGCCTAATTACACCACAGATAGAAATTTTATTGCAGTATTGTATCGGGAAATTTTCCAGTATTTACACTATTATTTCGGATAAGTTTGATATTTCATTGAATAACATTTCATTTCATATTTTTACAATGGCAGGTTGTTTCGCTGTTGACATCAGATACCCCTGAAGCATTATTTTGGAGAAGTGACATATACCAGTGAGTATTTGCAGTTTACTCTCACTTTCAATTTTCTCTTTAATTCTGCTTATTACGGTGGATTTAGGAAAGCGTAATTTTCAATCTGGTGGCTAGTTTCTCTAGGTGTGTTAAGCATCAAGAGTTTCACTCTATCATTTCTATATTGACTTTAAAATATTTGTACAGTTGCCACCCCTTTTTAATTTGTGAATGTTTCGAGATTGTTGATAGTTTCATAAACAGACCAAAAATTCCGTCGAAATGTTATTTTGAAACATTTTAGCGAGGGTTATAGAATTATTTGTGGTTGGTTTTGTTAATCAGAAACATTAAGTTATCATAAACTCTCTGTCGCGTTCGGCGTTTTAGTGGATTGTGCATTTTCATGATTTCTACATAGGCTGGTCTTAAAAAATGTATTTCGTTTTCCATCACCTTCGTTCTTGTGAAAGTTGGTGTGTACGGTGGACAACGAAGAAGAGAAAAATTGCCAGATAATATCAACAAAAAATTTGAAGCGTTGGAACCAACAGAGGCATTGAAACAGCTTTATAACGAGACCTAGTTATTTTAAACTGTGCATAATTGTTAATTAAAGAACGTTTGTAAATTCAGATTTTTTTAACTTGGATGAATATTCGTTTCTGGTTTTTCATATTTTTTATCACGGAACACGGTTCTCCAGTACACACAGTGGAGTTCGTTTCTTAGAACCACTCAAACCGAAAACTGTAAGGGAACACCCGGAGATCGAAAATGAAATTTACGACCCATGCACGTTTTCATGAAAACTGAAAATCAAGGAAACCTGTAAATGTCGCATGAAAACTACAGAAATAAAAACTAAGCCCTAAATGTAGCACGAAAACTGAAATTTCAAACTTAGCGAGTTCCATGAAAGCTGAAATTACCGTCAATCGAAAAATGACAAGCCAACAATCATGCAATCAATCAAACTATAATAGTTTGTAAAACTAATCAATCCGTGGCCCTCTGAATAAAGAAAACTTATATTGTGTTTTATGTAATTATTATATTGACAACTTCATTCTTCAAAACTCAAAGGCAGCCGATCGTTTTTTGACTACCTACTATTAAGGAAGGAACATCACTGTTAGATAAGATAGTTTTGGGGTAAAGTTTCCTCCATTACAATAATATTTCTGATCATTTTTGTTTCAAAAACGCGATTCAAAAAATTAGAACTACTTTATTTAGCTTAACAATCGTTAATGGTAATCGGGTGGCTTATTGTTCACTGACTAACATATTCGAATTGTTAATGTTGATAGGTTCAGTTCTTGCTGTTTAGCTCAAAGACTTGAGAAGCCATAGCTCTAAAACCTCAACTGTGAGTTGATGAATGATTAATTATTTTTATTTTTTGTCTCCGTATGACTTTGCTTGTCGTTTGCCCAGCTGGTTTAAGTTTGTTTCTTATTCAAATTATTGAGGTGCACAACTTGGTCCAACATTTTCAGACGATTTCATAAGAATTACATCAGCAAAACGTTCACCACTCAGCACCAGAATACAGCAGCTGAATTTAAGTGGCATCTACAGTAGTTTTTCCGCAATATGCACTGACTTTTTTAATTGGATTTAACTGGAAAGAACTAGCTGTTATCTAATGAAGGAGCATAATGAAAGTTAAAGCCTAATTTGCAATAGTACTGGTTTGATTTGTTTACATTTAATACAAAGTTGTTTGTTATGACAAATACAACTTAAGAATTTACCGATCATGAGACCTATTTGATCTGTACATAATGTTCCTACGTAATATTCACTTAAGAACTGATTCAAAAGTGTTCTTAAGAGAGTTTGACTCACTGAGAAAGAATCGTTTTTGAAGACTCGTTAAATTACGATTGTTTCACATGTAAAAAATGTATCGACAACATTGTTAACATGGATGCTTCTTGCAAAAGACGAATGGAGTTATTTCGTAGAAGCATCTCGGATTTTCGGCGGCATCTTCGAAATCTTCGTTGAATAATGTTCGGAAAATCGTCTCGACTGGTATTGTTACATTGAAAATTCTACTTGAAGCTTGAAGGAGAATTTCATGTCGTTAATTCGCAATTTTAACATGTTTGACACGTAAAATTGCTACATTCATCTTTCCTAAGTTCTTTCTTTCCGAGGTCAGTGAAACACAACTCCGATATCGCGTTGAAAGTGTCGGCCCTCGAAGTAGTATCAAACGGACTGTAGGATCTAAATAGAAAGAAATTCGTTGCCGATATTATCGAATTGATTAACGGACTGAAATCAGCTATGGGATATAAACGAAGACAGCAATAAAGGGAACAAGTGAACGACTCATTTTTGAATTCTCTAGATTTCTCTAGGATCCTTCAAAAACAAACAGGTGGAAAGATATCCCGTCAAAGAATCTTTTTTGTTTAACGGTTTCGAATGGTTATTCAGCTTACGCATTTATATTTAACAAAGATTTTCGTCTCATTGTATAATTTTAATTCACTTTTTAAAATCTGCATTAGCTGATACAATCTTACTGAGTAGCAAGAAAATGTATTCTGTTCCAACAATGTGCCAAGAAAAAGATCGAAAGTGAATGTTTTAAGCTGTTACCGGTTACCTATCTTCTCATTCATTTGCCAAAGCCACTTGTCTTGTGTTGTCGCACGAATCTTACTCTATTGTTGCCACCCTGTCAGCTTGATTTCTCTCTCTTCTTTTCTTTGGTCTCCTTCTCTTTCGTCTTTCGTTTGGAGCTGTTTGGAGCCCATGCTAGAGCTGTGATGCAAACTTTGTTCAGGAACTGCCTAAGGATTCGCATAACAAATCTCCGTATTCAGTTCAGTTCCTACTCAGTCACTTGGTGTCTCTATGTTCGGCCTTTGAAAAGTTCTGTAGCGCCGACTTTTGTTCAGCCATTTAACCTTCAATAAAACACTGCTCTCATTTTCAACACGTTTTTTGAATTTTCGGTTTCGCTTCTGTGAACAATGAAGCTTCTTTGACCAGTATCTCGTGTCGTTGTTTCTGTAATACTGCCAGTGTTCCACGCTTCCACGACGTAAAATACTATCCCTCCTTTCAGATTGTCGAAAATAGTACTGTTGCTCGACCTAAGAAGTTAACTACGCCATATAGATCCTGTGCCATCTGACCGTTCACTGTCATAATTTCACTTGCGTGGCCTCACTTTTTCCTACCGTTCTCTTGAACATCTATCTTTCAAGCATTCTCTGCTAACCTGTTGGTTTTGTTTGACAATATTGATGATCTTCTGTTGGACTCTATACGACCTCTCGTTTGCCAATGGACTGTCTTTTGTACCAATTATAACAACTTCTCGAGATCCACAAAATATTTCTAAACACGAGGGATGCTTGCCACCGTGCATCTCAAGTTGTCTATGATCGACTTGCTCCGCGCAGGAGCAACGCAGACCGGAGACTCGCTATTTTACTTCTCCCCCTGAACTAAATCCAGCTTGTCTCTTTCGGTTTCTGCAGTTAATTCGACGGCTGATTTGGTCTATATATCATAACTCTTTCAAACTGGTAACTTGCAATTAAAATTCATTTTACACTCCACTAGTGCCTGTATTCGTTTATTTTCTCTTGGTTAAGGGGCTACTCAAGAAGGTCCTTTCCCATTTAGCCAGGCCCTTCTCCGGCTGTATCCAGACGTCTTCATGATCAGGTCCTTCGCTTCAGTTTTTGTAAAGTTAATGTCTGTCTGTAGCAGCTCTGACGTTATCAATCCTTACTAGGCAGATACTCTCTCATTGCTAAGATTCTTTATTGATCGAGTTCTTTGTCTCAGCTTCCTTCACAAATTCTTCGCCTGTTGTAAATATATGGGCAGTATTGTTCAGTATTGCCTCGTTTAACCGGAGTCAGCGTATTTATCCATTCCGTTCGGTGAAGTGCTCTGTCTTCCTCTTCTTACATCTTTCTCCATTGCTCCATGATGTTTTCTGATGAACATCCCCGTCACTTAAAGGTGGCGTAACATATCGTGCTATCTCCTCTCTAAACAGTTTGACGAGTACGATTATGAAACAGCTACGTAAATATCAGCATTGTCTACTATTCATTGTCCACGACCTTATTTCAAAGGTCACAGCTCACAATTCTAAATCTAATGTTCTCAAACCATGGTAACAAATAACAGTCTCTTAACAACTGGTAATACACAACGTTCTTTAGTCTGGGTACTCGGACACCTTGACTGCCTGAGAGTCTTTCCTCGGTCACTGTTGCGAACATTTCTGAGTGCTCTGTCACGGCTGTCTTCATCTTTGCGCCATATCATAGTTATCTTCTGCTACTTAAATTCCTTTTATTAACGGCAAACTGTATTTTCGTTTGGAATACATCATTAGAGAAATCCAGGCCAAATGGATAATCTAAAACGCCAAATGTATTTTTTTTTATCCAATTTTCTGAGTACTTTTGTACAACGCATTCTTCTTTGTTAACGCATTCTCAGCTTTGTTAACAGTCCTGACGAACTGACTGAACTTATTCCCTGACATGCTCTTAAACCCATGTAAGGGGTGACCCACAGCTTCAACAACAACAAAAATTAAAGACAGTCTGTTTGTCTCTATACTTAAAAGACATACGCATCGTTGCCACTCCTTCAGCAAGTATCTGAGATACATTGCAGCCTGTGAATTTTGTTCTAGTTGCCTTCACTTGCGGTGTCCCTTTGAGCGACTTGAACGCATCTGATAGAGATACATTTGAATGTCCCATTATGGTCCACTTTAAATTTTACCATGTCACCGCTCACTAAGAACGTAGATTTCCTGTCCTCTTCATGGTCATCTTTTGGACTTAGCCAAGAAATTGCTCTTCTGACTGTTCGTCTTTGAAAACAGATTGAGCAGATGGATCGCTTTCCTCGAGATGAACATTTTTGATGACAATGAATGCAAATTCTTGACTTCTGGTAAATTTCTTGAAATGGTGGGAATTTACCTTTCTTTTGTTGTCCTATTTGGTTCTTCAGTTTTCAATTTCGTGAGGCGACACACTAATCTATGCTTTCGGTCGGTTACTGATCCCAATTAGAGAATTTCTGGCGCTCAAATGAAATTCTTCGCTCGAAAAGGAAGAACCGTTCACATTAATGGCGGAACTCGTCCTCCTATTCTCCAGTTTTCAAGGGAAAAGATCTGACAACGGTATTATGGTTGGCGAAATACATCCTAGTCCTGGGACAGGGAAATGTTGGAAACATAATGTCATCGGAAATCTTTGAAACCGGCGTCCTTGGAAGTCTTCGGACGTCTTCGGATATGGTCAAGCGAGTTTTCTTCGAAAATTCTGGAACTCCATGGATCGGATAACGATTCCAAGTCTATAACTCGGAAAACATCGGCAGGAATAATACAATGTAACTAGTTCTTTCCACTTCGCCAGGTGTCTGCAACATTACCCTCGAGACTTAGCATTGAAGGCTACTTGGTTGAACACAGTCATTTTGAGGTAGATTTTCATGACTGAAGCTGTTTGAAATGGCCACTTCTTGTACTATATCATGTCTATTGAAGACCACTGATATCACATAACTGTGGCGTGATATATCGTGATACATACATTCTTTAAATGCCACTTGTTTCCGTCTCTAGTAAATGCGTTCTGTCTTGAGATTTCACTGCAGAGTTTTGAATGCGTAAAAGAGTGTTAATGAATTGGTTGCAAGCTAGTTCCTTTGTATCTTCGCTGCTTCCTCCGTCGTTTCTAGGATGCTACTTTTTGTCTATGTCTTAGCCGTTTGTCTTTAATCCTGTATCTGTTTCTTTTCCTTTCTTTTAAGAACTCTCTCAGAGCTCATTCTCTTTAACTTTTGTGTTATCGTCTTGCCTCTCTCCATTTAGCTCTCACGATTGTAGGCTTTTCCATAGTTTGCTTTCATGTTTTTTGCGCCTCCTCCTCTACTGTGTCTGATTTCTTTAGTCTCTACTTTTCTTTTCAAGCTGCTCGTCTTCTAGTCCGCCCCCCTCGTCAGTGTCCAGCACAGCCAAAGCATTAGCTAAGAACCCTGTACGTTGGAGGGTACTGGTGGACGCCCTATGCTCCCCCGGGGTGATAAGGATCTATGATGAAGATGATGATGATGAATTTTTCAAACTCTTTTGTCTGATATGAGAATTTTAAGGGAGTTTTGACTGCACATCGGCACTAACTAAGTGTGGCCATTACTGATGTCTGCTGATCTAACACCTCGTGTTTCTGGTGTATATATATATTCTGAATTGTCTTTTGACCGATATCTGATTAATTTGGTGTCCAGTGAGTCCATCATGAGGCAACAAGTTTTTCAACCGATCACGTTTCTTGGTTATAGCGTTGCTATCTGAAAGTCTCATAACCAGTTCGACGTTGTTGTATTTCGCATTCGTAGCTATCCAGATCGCTTTCAAGTGTGGCATTCATAATGAACGTATCGTAATCTGGTGTCTCTGCTTTAAAAACAAATCTTTGCATTCTCCTTCCATGTCGATTGTAGGGACATGGTATGGATCAGTGGTAGTATCACGAATCTGAAGTGGGACTTTCCCTTGTTATGCCGTCATTTCTAGTTGTCCAGTTTATCATTTCTCTCTCGGCTTCTTTGCTTAACGCAATATCATCTCAATGTGGTTAATAATGTACTCATTCCCATAGTTCCCATAGCACACTTCTATGCATTCGATCTCCTTTCAGTTTTCCTTAATAACGTCTGTTACCCGATCTCTAACATCACATTTGCTACTTGGGCCGCCTCACCTTGTGTTTGGTCTGCACGTGACCTTTATAAATTGGAGGGAAAGACAGCTTGTGAAATGGCCGGTTTAATATCTGTTAGTAATCCCCACCGAAACCGATGAAGTCACAAACAAATGGGACTGAAAGCAATATATGCTTTATCGTATCTCGTGTTCTAGGTGTGAATTTCGTCAGCGGAAGGAAAATTCTGTATCGCGATACATTCAACAAAAATGGTGGAAAGGAAAACAGAACTGATAAAGTACTACGACCTACGCCTCATCATTGCCCAAGACGTCGGGGACAGAACAGAAGTAGCACATATCTATGGAAACCTTGGCGCTGCTTACATGAATCTCGGAGGCTTCAGACAATCCATGGATTTCAACTCTCGACATCTCTGTGTTGCCAAAGAAATCGAGAGCTTGGTTGAGCAAGAACGTGCCTATAGACATTTTGCCCGTGCTTACAGAAATTGCGGTGAATTCAAAAATGCCATTGAGTACGACAAGCAAGATATAAACATTGCTCAACTTCGCGGAGACAAGGCTGAAGAAGCAATTGCCCTTCGAAATATTGGAGATGATTACCAAAGTATCGGCGAATTTAAACAAGCCATTGACTACTACAAGGAAGACCTCGCTATTGCTCAAGACAGTGGTGACAAAGCTAAGGAAGGACTTGCCTGTCGAAATCTCGGACTCGCTCACAGTGGTCTCGGTGATCTTAAACAAGCCCTTGAGTACCACAGGCAAGATCTCAACATTTCCAGAGAACTCGCTGACAAGACAGGGGAAGGTCGTGCTTATGGAAATCTTGCCGATACACACAGCCGTCGTGGTGAACTCAATCAAGCCATTATCTTCTACAAGCAAGACCTAAATATTGCCAAAGAAACCGGGGACATGGTTAAACAAGGCCGTACCTATGGAAAACTTGGCGATATCTACAAGCGCCTTGGTGATTTTAAACAAGCCAATGACTTACACGAGCAATATCTTAGCATTGCCAAGGAAATCGGTGACAAGGCTGAAGAGGAACGTACCTATGGACTCCTTGGCGGTACTGGCGAAGATCTTGAGAGTTTTAACCGTACCCTTGACTCTCACAAGGAATGTCTCAGCAGTGCCAAAGAAATCGACGACAAGGCTGAGGAGGGACGTACCTGTGGAAACCTCAACGATGCTTACAAAAATCAAAGTGATTTCAAGCAAGCCATTGAATACCACAAACGGTATCTTACCATTGCCAAAGAAGTCGGGAACAAGACTGGTGAAGCACGTGCTTATGGAAACCTTGGTCGTGCCTACCTTAGTCTCGGTGATTTCAAGGCAGCTATGGAATACCACAAGAAAAATCTCACCTTAGCCAAAGAAATCAGTGACAGGGCTGAGGAAGGACGAGCTAATGGAAATATTGGACTTGTTCTCTTCAATCTCGGTGACTTCAAACAAGCCGTAGAATACCTGATGAAAGCTCTTGACATTGTCAAAGAAGTCGGGGACAGGGCTGAAGAAGGACGCGTTTGTGGAAATCTTGGACTTGCTCACAGAAGTCTCACCAATTACAAAGAAGCTGTAGAAAACCACAAGAAATATCTCAGCATTGCCAAAGAAGTCGAGGATAAAGCTGAAGAAGGACGCGCTTATGGCAACCTTGGCGAGACATACAGAAGTCTCGGTGATAACAAACGAGCCATAGAATACCATTTAAAGGAGCTACGCATTGCAAAAGATCTCGGTGACAAGACTGAAGAAGGACGCGCCTTGGGATTCCTTGGCGATTGTTATAGAAGTATCCGTGAATTCAAGCGATCCATGAACTTCCACAAGCTAGCTATTGAAATGTTCAAACAAGCCGGGAACAGGGTTCTGGAGGGACGTGCTCAGGGATACCTTGGCGTTGCTTACAGAGGTATCGGTAATTGCGAACGAGCCATTGAGTCTCACGAGGAAGATCTTGCCCTTGCCATAGAAGTCGGTGACAAGGCCGGGGAAGGCCGTGCCTCTGGAAATCTTGGCGCTGTTCACAGAAGCCTTGGCCGTTCTAAACCAGCCATTGAGTACCACAAGAAAGATCTAAGCATTGCCCAGGAAAATGGAGACAAAAACAGAGAGGCATTCGCGTTGTTTTGCATTGGCCGTGCTCATGAACGCTTGAACTCTCTACAAGAGGCCCTGGAGCATTACCGATCGAGTGTACAACTGTTTAACAACTTGACAGCTTCCCTTGGGTCCGAAGATATGTGGAGGATCCATTTCCGTAAGAAGTGTAAAAACGCGTACACAGCTGTATGGAGGACTCTGCTGAAGCTTGGAAAGTCTGCTGAGGCTTTGTATGAAGCTGAGCTCGGACGAGGACAGGCCTTGAAGGAACTCATGGAATTGCAGTACGGCTCTGGATGGCTCCACTCAGAGTTACCTGATCCAAAGGAGACGATCTCTCGGATGATTGGCGGCATGACCACACCAATACTTTTCATCGCCCTTGAAAAAGAAGCTATCCATTTATGGTTCCTCAAGGGAAAAGGGGAAATCCAATACGAAAGAAAGCGGATCGACGAAATTGACGTGGTGGTGAAAAAAGCTTCCAAAGAAATTAGATATGCTTTCAAATGCGAGAATCGTTCATTGTACGAGCCAGGAGAGCATCAGCGAAGTGTGTACAATACTGTTCTTGGCCCCATCATCGACTCCTTTCAAGGTGAAGAACTGATCATCGTCCCGGATGGTCCACTGTGGCTGGCTCCTTTTCATGCGTTTATGAGTCCAGCAAGAAAGTACCTCTGTGAGTATTTCATGGTCCGCATCATCCCCTCCCTGACAAGTTTACACATGATCACAACTTGTCCTGACGACCACCACAGCAAGACTGGCGCCCTGCTCGTGGGAGACCCGTGGATGGAAGAAATCGTAGACCAGTTCGACAGGCCCAAGTTTAAGCAGCTGAAAGGTGCTCAAGAGGAAATACAAATGCTGGGAAAGATGATAAAGACCACTCCAGTCCTGGGAAAAGATGCAACTAAAGACGAAGTGCTGAAGCGAATCACTTCGGTGGCTTTGGTTCACATTGCAGCGCACACAAACAAGAAAACGGGTGAAATTGTGTTGACTCCAAATCCCACACGAGAATCCAAGGTGCCTGAAGAGAAGGACTACATGCTGACGATGGAAGATGTGCAACGTCTTCATCTTCGAGCCAGGCTTGTTGTACTCAGTTCGTCGAACACTGCAAAAGGACTGATTACCTCTGAAGGTGTTGTTGGCATTGCACGGTCCTTCCTGGCTGCTGGTGCTCGATCTGTTGTGGCGTCTATCTGGGGAGTTCATGACGAGTCTACCGTGCTCTTTATGAAATGCTTCTACAAACACCTAGAAGAAGGAAAAAGCGTCAGTAAGGCTCTCTTCCTGGCCATCAATGCTGTGAGAGAGACAGAGAAGTTTGACCTGGAAAAGTACTGGGCTCCGTTTACACTCTTTGGCGATGACGTCACTCTGGATGTTGGAGAACTCGGAGATCAAAAGCCCTGTAAGTAGAATATGTTTGGAAACACTATGAAGACAGTGTTCATTACTTTGGTGTTGCAGCTAGGCTTGGAAAAGTGGAATGAGTACAGGTGTACTTATGTACAGGCCTTGTTAACGCAGTTTTTAACCGTGATTTCTAAATGCAAAAGGTATTGTTCGCGTTAAGTACAAAAACCAGCTAAATTTGTTTTAAGCAAATTTCTCATGTACATGTAATGTTTCACTTCGTTTTGAGTTACTGCGCTTTTTTGCTGTGAAAGAGTTACTCAAGAACAGGGAATGCAATTCTATTTCCCCCTTGAAGCAGAATCTCGGGCGATACACTTGCAAAACGTCAGCAACATACTGAACAGACATTTTTTTTTTGATAATTATATTACATTGTAAAGATTGAATTCCTAGTCATAACAGAAGGTGTACTATCTAAAGGTGATTTTCTGTTTTGCAGAAGCTGAAACGTCAAGTTCAGAGGAAACTCATGAGCGACTGATTGATAAAGACCATTCATAATCTACAGAAATTGATCTTAAGGTCAAATATTTTTAAAATCAAAGAAAACGCAGAAAGGTATACATGTATTACCGTATTTAAACACGAAATGAACCATAGATTAGATTGGGTGCTCATTTTTTGTTAGTTGTTGCAGTTTTCTTCCAAGAGAGACAGAACTCAAAATATTATTTAGACTTGTTTCATAGTTAACACTTATGCCGTTTTCAGTTGTTGATCGATAACAGTAACTTCACTGGAGGCTTAATTTAGCACGTAATACGCAAGAATTTTGATGGGTGTATAGCGATTGCACTCTTTACGTCTATAGTCTACGATTTAGCGTTAATGACCAGAGAAGAAAAATAAAATAGATCAAGCTAAACAATGATCCGTGCGATGACTAGCACGGTGTTTGCAATATTGATTACGTTATCAGTGTGTCATGTTTATCTCAAGGCCTGTAAGTAGTGATCAGCGCTTGACTCTAAGTAACCAAGTTTAGAAAATCGGAAATTAGCAGAATATAGAGGAAAGCCTTGATTTTACAGACTTAGAACAAGCATGAACATGTAGTCTACGATATGACCACTTTCTAGACAAAATTCTTCATAATCAGCAATTGAACTTCGAATGCATGAACAGACTGACAAGTTCAATCGCGGTTTTAGCTAAACAGCTTTTAAACATTTTTGAACCGGTATTCGGTGTCCGCTTTTGTACAATTAAAAATTAGACTTAAGTAAGTACAAATGCAGCCTCAGTACTGAATAACTAGTATTTCTGATATATTTTGATTTGTTACAAATGATAGTGATATTGTAGACTCTTTCTAAGTAAGAATATTTAGTGTGGTGTTCAAAATACACCAATACGAGTCAAGTCAAGTCAAGTCAAGTCAAATACCGTACAGTATCAGGCTGCATTTATTGCCTTTTTGTTACTGAGTGAAGCTTAGGTAACGAGCACCATCGCCTATTACTTGTTACTAATATGTTAATGATAGTTTCATTAGGGTAACAGCTTCTTAGACGCAGCTCAAAGACTCAAATCTACATAGAAAGCTGCATTTTAGCCTTCTCGCTTTTTTATTGCAAATGTAGCTTTTTGGTTTAAAGTAGTATTTCATATAACAATATATGTATGACTAATAAGCAGTTTTTTAAGATCTGTTATGATTCATAGGAAAAACAAGTTAATATAACTACAGTGTTAAATTTCAGTACGAGTGTTATTTACTCAAGTATATGGTCGCTTTTTTAGCCATATTGTTACAGGTGTAGCTAAGCGTATTTAGTAGTATTTCCTATATCTTATATAAGCAACTTTAAAAGATTTTTATGATAATAGCAGACAATCTTGTAGTCATATACTGCTTTAAGATTGCACGAATTATCACAAGTGGACGGCCAGTGCATTGGTCTCTTGGCAAATTCACTTTGAAGAGGGACAACCCACTGTTAAAAACTGTTCTGATTCAGTGCACGTCAGCTGGCCGGAGTGAAACAAAGGAAAGACAATTGCCTCTTCATCTCACAGAACAGACGAGAAGAATGAACACCAGCGAATGCAAAACTGCGGAGTGCTAACCTTGATATGCAAGTGGCACATTTCAAGACATCTTCTGTCCAAAGGTTGCCAGTACCAGACAGCCACACTCAGGATTTGTTTCCAACTACCAAGTCTTCAAACACTCTAAAAACACGAACATGAATTAGAAAAGGACAGAAAGGAACTTTGTAAGAGAACTTTAATGTGAAATTGAGATGAACTGAGGACTTCTGTTTGCGTGAAGTTTTATTCATTAGGGTGACAGATAAGTAGTATTCGACTAGCTTTTACCGCGTATATCGTTTATCTTGTATGTCATTGGGCGGTTTATATATTTTTTTATTCATTTTCAATAAGTTTAGGAACTGTCAATGCCTTCCATAAGTTGATCGACAGCAGTATTCACGCGCTAAGCCGAAACGGAGCATGCTTACAAAATGATGAAAGCACAGCAATAGGATTGACCAGTTCATTAATTAATAAACTTTAATAACGTAGCAACTGCAAATGGCTGAAAAAAGACCATATTCTCTGACTGAAGACGACAAACTGACAGGGAAATAACATCTCATCCACGACAACTTACAAAGATGAGGTCGTCGACCAATGCTTGAAGGTCTTTGCCAAAAAACCCGCTGCCTTCTCTTAAGATTTTTTTTGTTCAGTTTTGCTTGATAGAGCACGAAAAGTAAATAACAAATTTCTTTGTGAAGGTGTTAAGACCTTAAGGTTGTGTTTGTAAGTGCGTCAGTCTACATAGTCTTCTTGCTTTGCTGTTGCTATGTTACAATGATCAATGATCAAATAACTGTTAATGTGGACAGTTTCCTGGTAATGTTCATTCCAGGATATTTTCTGGTTGATTTTTGTCTATTACCAACAAAAAGTGTGGTGAAACTGTTCAGGAATTCTTGCCGAGCGTTCTTATAATGACATTATTATAAGTCTTTAACTGAGACATGTCCACTAAAAAGTAGGTTAACACAGTTAGGTTAAATCAGTCGTAATTATGCATGATGGACGTCACAGGAAGTTAAAGTAATTTTTTTAAAAGTAGTTTTATTAATAGTTTGTAATTAAGCTTGGCGGAATAATATAAATAAAAGGCTTGTAATCATGTAAAAGAGAGACGTGTTTATATCTGTTATTGCGTTTGCAGCGACCGTGCGTTGCCAACTCCCTACCTTTCAACATCAGTCACAATTCTATATCTTCCCACAACGAGGGTTTTTTTTTTTCACTTCTTTGCAATACAGGTTGTCGGTTTTTATTTAGGTGGGGAACGGGAGGGGGGGGGGTTGTCACATCAACGTTTTATTACTGGCTGCTATTGGTATTTTGTGAAGTGTCATATTCGAGGACTTTTAGTCACGACTGTAAGTTGGTTTAAATCTATAAGAGGATCTCAAGAGGGTCGTACGATACTCCAATTGCCTAAGTTTCCTCTTCTTCTCTTTGTCAACTCCTTGTTTTTTTTACAGATAATCTATTTCAACGTAACATCCTGAATACTTTCCACACCCCGATGGAGAAGGGGGGGGGGGGGGTGCCCGCGCTTACTTTGATTTTAATCAGTTTCGTGTTAATGTTGGTGAGGCTGATACTACATAGAAAACTTAACGCGAAATCGCCGGATGGTTGATTCCAAACTGAAAGCCAGGACAGCTGTTTCGATCTGGCTGAGTTCCATCAGCACGGTGTTGCAGCGACAAATAGAACAACCGGCACGCAGACCAATTGTCTACTAAATACAAGTGGTAATGACTATTGGGAAACTGACACTGCGGGTTTACGCGAGTAACCATGTGACTCTGTTTCAAAACGAGTTCTCGTGTAAAGCTTAAGAAATAAAAATACGTATTATTTGCGTGAAACTGAACCTGCGAGTGAAACACATTTTCATACGAATGATGTCGCACAGACTCGTTCTGACACAGAGGCAAAAGGTAGCCAAAGGTAACTCGGAAATGGTCTATTGACATAGAGAAGCAAAATAGTAGCAAGGGAAAGTTTTGTCTACTCTGTATGGGACAGAGGTATGGCTGCACTGGTGGAGATAAAAACACTGTGTGATATTAGAATGGAGGTGGCTATCTTCGCGAAGGGCAGTAAATGGCGAGTTCTACAAATAGAGTAATTGAAACTAATTTACTCGGCTTTGCAAAATATGAAAAACATTTCGTAGCCCGTGTTATTCTTTCCTGCGGACTGGACGAATGGGATACTCGACAATTGTGCTCAAAGGAATGAACTTCAAAACAATTTGAGGCAGGACAAACAAACTCTGACGAAGCGTTTACACTTTGTTCAGACCCGAAGGCTTACTTTATTTTTCATATTAAACCAACACCATAATCAGACTACATCGTGAAGTACAATGTACTTCTCAGGAATAACTGATTGCCAATTGTATTCAGTAGTTCTACAGATGCTTAGGTTTCTAAAAACAAAATCAAGCGTGACCCGTTTCTAACCCGGGGGAGAGTGGGGGGGGGGGG